ATGAGGTAGAATCTCAGTGTTATTTTAATTTGCATCTCTTAAATGATCAGTGAGGTTGAACATATTTTCATGTATTTGCTGTTTTTACTTCTTCATCTGAGAAGTATCTATGCATTACAGAACCCAGTTTTTCAACTGCGTCTTTAAATTGGGCAGGGGACCTGATTTTTTAAAGTTCTTTATATTTTCTAGATATTAATCTTTGTTAGATGAACGGCTGGGAAAAACTTTTTCCTACTCTACCTGTTGTCTCTTTACTGTGTTGTCAGTTTCTTCTGTTGTGCAAAAGCTTTTTAATGAGATCCCAGTCATTGATTCTTTGATATTTCCTGTGCAATCAGGATTTTGTACATAAAGTCTCTGCCTACACCTATGTTCTTAAGATTTCTACCTATTCTACCTTCCAGCAGATTTACCATTTGTTTTAATATTTAGATCTTTGATCCATTTCAATTTTAGTTTAGTGCATGGGGGAGAGATATGGGTTTAGTTTTTCAAGCAGCATTTACTAAACTTTCTAGTGAAGCTGTTTGGACACTTTGTCAAAAATAAGATGCCTAAGTGTGTCTGGAGTTGTTTATGCATCTTATAGTCTGTTTCATTGATCTCTCCTTTTTTTTTTTTTTTGCCAGTATTATGCTGGTTTTCTCACTGTGGCTCTACTAGAATTTCAAGTCAGGGATTGTGATGCCCCCTGACTTGACATTGTTGGCCAGAACTGTCTTCTGCTACTCTAGGTCTCTTCTAGTTCCAAGTGAATTTTAGGATGGTTTTCTCTAATTCTGCGAGACATTTTGACTGGAACTGCGTTAAATCTATACAGTAGTTTTGGGAGCACGGCTGTTTTCATTATATTGTTTTCTCCTACTCAGGAACAAGGGATATCATTTCATTTTCTGATATCCTCAATGTTCTTGAGAGTACTTTAATTTTCAATGCAAAAGTCCTTTGCTTTGTTAGATTCCTAAATATTTCGTATTTGAATGCTATTGTGAAAGGTGTGATTTCCCTAATTTCTCTCAGTGAGTTTGTGTATAGAACTGTGGTTATTGTTTGCATCTTAACATTATATCTGGCTGTCCTACTGAATTTGGTTATTAAATCCAGAAGTCCTTTGGTGGAACGTATAGGATATTATGTATAGGGTATCATATCACTTATAGTAATAATCTTCCTTTTTATCCATGTTCATTTCTTTTGTCTAATTCATCTGGCTAATTTTTCCAGAACTGTATTGAATAAGAGTGGTGACAGTGGACATCCTTGTCTTGTTCCTGATTTTCGAAAGAAAGCTTTTGACTAAAAACTAGTATGATACTGGCTGTTGGTTTGTCATAGATAGCTTTTAACAGATTGAGATAAAGCCCATCCTCCAATGTTATGTAGAGTTTTTAGCATGAATGGGTGTCGGACTTCTTTGAATGCTTTTTCTACATCAATTGAGATGATCATGTGGTTTTTGTCATTGAGTCTATTAATATGGTATATTACATTTATTGATTTGTGTATGTTGAACTATCCTGGCATCCTTAGGATGAATCTTATGTGGTCATGGTTTCTGATCTTCTCAATAATTTGTTGCATTCTGTTTACCAGTAAGTTACTGAGGATTTCTGCATCTATGTTCATTAGAAAGAGTGGTCTACAGCTCTCGTTTTGCTGAGATCCTTCTCTGTTTTTGGTATCACGGTAATACTTGTTTCCAGGAATGATTTTGGGAATACTGCTTCCTTTTCAATTTCATTAGAGCTTAGATGTATGAAAGAAACTGTCCATATCCTTTGTGTTTTCCATCTTACTAGTATACAGGTACTAGTAAGTATTAATGTTTTCGAAGTATTAATGTTTTCTGGATTTCCGTAGGGTCCTTTGTGACTTTACCCTTTTTCTTCCTAAGTACATGGATTTGAATCTTTTCTTTTTTTGGTAAGGTTGGCTAAGGACTTGTCAGTTTTAGTCTTCCCAAGAACCAACCTTTCTATTCTCTGACTCTTTGTGTTGTTAGTCTCAATTGAATTAATTTGTGCTCTAATTTTTATAATTTCCTTCTATATATTAACTTTGGGCTTGATTTGTTGCTCTTGTTCTAGAAGCTTGATGTTCAAATAATAGGTTATTATTTGAGCTTATTCTATTTTTCTGATGTTGGAATTTACCACCATAAACTTCCCTCATAAGAACTGTTTTCATTGTGTCCCATAAGTTCTGGTATGTTGTATTGACATTATTAATTGTAGAAACTGGTAGATTTCTTTAATTTTATGTCACCTATTTGCTGTTCAGAGGGTGTCATTTAATTTCCACGTGTTTACATGTGATTTCTTTTGCCACTGATTTCCAATTTCATTGAAATATGGTCTCATAATATGGATGAAATAATTTCCATTCCTTTGCTTAAGCATGTTCTATGAGCTAGCATGTGGTTTATTATAGAAAATGTTCTGTATGCAGCTAAAAAGAATGTGTATTCTTATGTTGTGAAATGGAATATTTTGTAGACATCTACTAAGTCTATTTTTTCAAAAATTTTATTCAGTTCTCATATCTTTTTTTTTTTTTCCACCGTATTTGGTACAGGATTTCAGTATGCAGCTTGGATTCATAGTGATTCTCCTGTTTTTAGCCTCCCTAGCACTGGGATTACAGGCATGTGTCACCACACCTGTTCTCAAGTGGCCAACTCAGTGTGCCTAAGGGTGGGGCCCGTGTGACATGTGGTGCCAGGGATTGAACCCTGGTTCCTGCCCAGTTCCTGTGCTTGCCTAACTCTTAGTCCACTAAGCTATCTCACTGGCCCCATCTTTTTTTTTTTTTTTTTTTTGGTCTAGTTGATCTGTATTTGTGACAGTGGGGTACTGAGGTTTTCCGTTACAATTATATTAGTGCTTATTTGTTTTTTTATGTTTATTAATACTTGTTTTATATAGTTGGGTGTGCTGGTATTTGGTACATTTATGATTGTTATTCCTCTTTGATTGCTCCCTTAACGATATAGTAGCTTTCTTTGTCTGAGTCTTGGCTTGTGTGTACAAATAGAATAATAATTCCTACTTTTTTCTGGCTTCTTGTTGCATGGAGTACTGTTTTCCATCCTTAAGTTTTCAGTCTATGCTTTTTTTTTTTTTTTTTTTTTTTGCTTTAAATGTGTCTGCTGTATGCAGCATATTGGTGGATCTTGCTTCTTGAGCCATTCTTCCAGTTTATTTCTTTTGATTAATGAATTAAGACTATTTACATTGATGGTTATAACTGATAAGTACTGACCTATCTTTGTCATATTATTTTCTATTTACCTGTTGTTGATTTGCCATTGTTCCCCTCTATTTAATTGCTTGCCTTGTCTGGTGCATTCATTCAGTTGGAATTCATGGTATTGTAGTATTTATTATCTTTTTGTAGAATGACCTTCAAAACATTTTGCAGTATAGGTCTGGTGGTTATGAATTTCTCCAGGTGTCCCCTATTATGGAAGTATCTTATTTCTCCATCAATTTTGAAAGATGTTTTACATGGTACATTGATCTGGGCTGAAGATTGCTTTCTTTTAGGGCTTGAAATACTTCACTCCAAGCTCTCCTTCATTTAAGGGTTTGTGTTGAGAAGTGTGCTGTGATTCCAAAGGGCTTTCCTCTATAGATGATTTGTTTCTTTTCTCTAACAGCTTTTAAAAAACTGCTAAAAGGAATTGAACTCTTGGTCTCATGTTTGCCATCTGCAGTGTGTTTGCACTATGCTGCTCAGCTGCATACATCCCTGGCCTTCTAACAATTTTTAGTATTCTATTCTTGTGTTGAATTTCCTGAATCTTGACTATTACAAATAATTCTTTATTTGGAAAGATTTTAATGAAATACATAGATCAAAGGACCTAGAATAAAAAAAGGAATGCCTCCTTTATAGTAAGGTTTGCTTCTGGCCTAAAATATGATCATCCATCTTAGCATTTGAGGGACCAAGTAAGAAAGAAAAAATAGAGACTAAGAACACAGAGTATGTAGGCTGCTTATTAGTAAAGAGAAAGCCACATTTTCTAAGATTAAGAATAGGGTTATTTGTTTCTCAAATCTCAAGAAAAACATTCTTTTTGGCCACAGCTCTTATGATCAGCTAAGCTGAAGTTATATCCATATCCTGAGTTCTAATATAAACCTGAGCAAAACCTGCAGCAAATACTTAATCACCATACAGTATCATCAGGTATGGTTATTAAAAAAATAAAAATACTCTACCATTATAGATTATAGAATAAACAGATTTAACAACTAAGATAGGAAGTAATTATTGTAAATGCTAAATTTGCTATTTAAACTCCTTTAATTCTGCTAATTAGGGTGGACCATACAGATGATCTGCTTTTTTTTTTTTTTTTTGTGGCCAGCTCAGTCTACTCTAGGGGTGGGGCTGGCTTGGTATGTGGTGCTAGGGACTGAACCGCGGTCCCTGTGCTTTGCATAAATTTGCCTAAGCAGACACCTTAGACTGCTGAGCTATCTCTCCAGCCCTTTACAGACAATCTTCTATTTCAACTCCAAATGAAACAAACAGTAAAATATGTGAGGGAGAAAAGTAAGAAAATAGATGCATTCTGTGTCTCAAATTACACTTCAACCTTCTGGTATTTTCATTTATTCTTACCTAAGTATAGTTTTCTATTTCTGAAGCTTCTTAGAGATAAGTCCCTTACAAGGTGGCAATATAATGCCCTACAAGTATGAAATTATAAATACAGAGAAAAAACTTTCCCTAAATATAGAAAATACTATAATTGAAATGATTCATTTCTGCCAAGACTAAATCTATAGGAAAAGGTGACCAGTGGAACCAAGATATAATCAATAATTCCTTGTAGCAGAATAGTGGGAAAGTCTTTTACATGTCTAAGATGCTAATAGGAACTTGATATATCAAGTTTTGGATATCTAGGTAAAGATTTAAAAATACACCCAAAATTAAAATATAGAAATACTTATCTACAGTTGATATTCTCATAGACTTTTTAATACTATGCTTTTATTTTATTATGGTTCAGCACTATTTTAAAGGATTCCCTTCACTTTGGATATCTGATAAAATTCATTCTATTTTTAGCAAATGGTATATTTTCTAACAGAACATCAAGCTGTTTCTTCAGCAAACTGATGCGCAAAGTCAAGATGGGTTTAATTTGTGCCACTTGGTAACAACCTTTTCTGGATTTGTAATTGTCTCTTTCCACTGGTTCACTGCTTCAATGCTGTTACTATCTTCACTTATCCAAACCTGTAAAGGAACAATATGATCATTTAACTTGACACAATAATGATAACTCAGTTTAAGTACTTCATTACGCTTATTAATAAAAGATATTTAGAAGTCTGGCATATATACTTTTAAGTAAGTATCTTTCCACTTTCCCAAAAGTTTGGTTAATTTCCCAATTTAATGCTTAAATATTAAAACATTTAACCTGTTTAGTTGTTCCAATGGCTTTTTTATACAATTGCATTCAATCACGAAAATTTAAGATATTACAAAATAATTTCCTCAGAAACAGTCATAAGTCTTCTATATTTAACATAGGAGCTGAATTTAAAACTGATTCTGACTATTTAAAAATATTTCTGTAGATATTAAACTGAGGTTAATGATTTACATTAGTAAATAAGATGCATTTTAGTATGACAAATAGTCATTCTTTATTCACAGTAATTTTATATTACTTATTTCAAACATAACTTTAGATAATGTATGTAAATGGACTTGGAAAAACTGTATAATATTATGCATGGTTACATATCATAATGGCCAGGAAGACAAGATTGACAAGTAACCAAAAAATCTGTACTGTCATTTTAGGTCTAGCACTAATATAATAGCATTATGTTGGCATTAAATTCTCTGCAGACTTAAGTTTCTCATTCTGTTAAGTAAAAAAATAGAAGTAGGTCATTGATTTTTAAACTTTTTTCTTTTTGTTATGAAAATCTCTTTTTCAAACCGTATCTTACAGAGAACCCCAATATATAAAACAGATACCATTTGAGTGCTTTGTGTGACAAAGGAGTGGGAGAACTTGAGTTCTCATGTGGTTATGCTACCAAGCTAATACCTGAGGCTAGCAGAGAAGCTATGGGGAACAGAAAACCAGCAAGAACCTTTCCAGAATTGATAGTCTAAAGAATCATCTTTCAAGTAAATTTTCTGTTCCATTCATATGTGATAGATGAGGTTTCATAATATACTTTAACTGAAAAACTTTAACTGAATTGAATTCCTAGGTTCCTGGCTATGAAAAGAATGCTAACTATATGAAATTCTTGCATGAAAACTTTTCTAAAAAAGATTAAATGCAGAAGCAAAACTAATATTTTAAATTAATAATTTAGGTAAATTATTCTAATAAGTGAATCTAAGAGTTGATATTAATCTTTGAAAATTCCTATATATAATGTGAAGATTTTTATGTAGATTATTAATATCATATTGTTCAGCAAAAGCTGAATAATAAGGTAATAATGTATAATGTAATAATGTATATATCAGAAAATAATCAAACAACTGTAATTAAGACAAAGATAAAGTATAATGGATAGCTGCCACTAATTTATTAAGAACAAGACAAAAAATGAAAAAGGGAAACAAGTTTCTGCAGGACTGGCAAATAAGCCTGTGTTACACTGTCTTATTCAAATTAATAAAAATTTTTAAATAGATCAACTGAAACACCAGAATTGACTATAATATCTCAACTACTGTAAAAATTTGCTAGGAATTCAAATCTAACATAACTTAGTTAATGGTATATAAAAAGTGTTCATGGTAAACATTAAACTGAAGGTAAAACAAACTAAATTTGATGACCAAAACCTTAAAAAAAATTTGACTTGAATACTTAATATGCTCCCTTTCCACAAGAGAATCAGCTGTATTGAAAAACCAATCTTAGTTTTTAAAATTGGTAAGTGTAGAAAATAGCTTAATGATGTCTTCTTTTTTTATTTTTTTGTATTTTAGGGAAGTGTCTACAAGGCATTCAGGGTATCACTACTAGATTGGACTCATAGTGATCCACCTGTTTACAGCCTCCCAAGGGCTGGGATTACAGGTGTGTGCCACCACACCCAATCTCAATTGCTGTCTCAGCATGCCTGGGGGCAGGGCCAGCACAGCAGGCCCAGGGATGGCACCCCTGACCCTTGAGCCTGCTTGTAGGCACTTTAATCCACTGAGCTATTTGGCCAGTCCTAATGATAAGTCTTATCACTCAGAAATTCCATCTTCTTGTATTAAAGAAAAAAAAATTAACAAAGTATTATTTTTGTGAGAGCATAATCTATGCTGAACAGTCTTATGATTAAACTTCAGTTTTATCCTGTTACTGGCTTTGTTAACCAACTGCTTAAATGCTCAGAAATATATAAGGAAGAAATTTAAGACATGACCCCCTCCCACTACTAACCTGGCCCACAAAGTGTTTTCTTCTGACAGAGCTTCGACTATAAAGTTTAAAGAGAAAAACAATGTCTTTTTCATTCTGTATAAGTGGAAAAATCATAGTCTCTCCCCACTTTACTCTTCCATTGGAGGCCTTCAGTGAGCGCGTCTTCTTCTTATAAATCAGTTCTCCTGAGCTAAACATTCCCACCTTCACAAAAAAACCTATGAAATAAGAAATTCTGATTTTTAAAATATTATTTAAAATATCACATAAAGGTATATATCTAAGTGTTATGTTTTATGTAAAAAATATAAATAGGCCTTGATAATGGTTTGATGAGCTATTGTTTGACATTTGAAAACATTCTTAATCAACTTTATAACTTTTGTTACACTTTACAGATAACTATTATAGCCTCAAAAGAACTTAATCTTCTTCTGGTTTGAACATGGAATTGTAGGTATAAATAACATTTAGCAGCAAAGGAGTACATGTTGAAAAGGATTATACGAAAGCATGGTGCCAACTCACTGAAAATAGTATTTAATTCAAAATTTTTGTATTTGAAAAGTTATTTGCTCGAGACTTTAAGTATATGCCCATTAGAAAGAAAATCTATTCTTTAAGTTTGACATGTATAGCTTCCAATAACAATGTAAGAGTTTGTATGAACTATCCTTCCTGTAAATAACAATTACAAACATTGCAAAAATATATCAAGATTGACCAAAGTCAGGAAAAAAAACAGAAGGGAAACAACTCTTAAAAAGACAGAAACTGCACTAGGGAAAATTCATGTTGATATATTGTTTCATCTGAGCTGAGAGTGAAGTTCAGTGGTTGAGTGCTTTCTTAGAATACAAAAGAAAACAGAACAAGCTCCAGTTCAATATCCAGTCCTGCACAAAGGCAGAGATTTTATAGCCTTCTTAGTCTGCCTGACACATGATACCCACAGCTCAAACAGAAAGTGCTAACATTTTTATTTTAGGGTTTTCTTCATTTACCCTGCATACGTGATATCAATGAATTATTGTTTTAACTGTGATATTCCTATTTTGATATCACAAATATGCTAACCTCACAAAATTATATTTTCCATGTTTTTAGTATGTTTTAAAGAAGCTTATATAGAGTAGGAATTACATATTCCTGAGTGTGGTAGAATCTTCAAGTAAAATTATGTTGGCTCAGTGCTTCTTCTTAGAGGCAGTTTGTTAACAATCTTTTCATAATATTCCTTTCAGATTTCTTCATCTTAAGTGAATTTCTTAGAAAATCATTTATTTTGTATGGCTACCCAAATGAATTAATATGAGTATATCACATATGAGATTGTCATCTATCACCAAATGTCTTCTGAATTTCAAATTATAACCTCTTCTTTGTTCAGAATATTATTCATGGTTTTACTTAGTTTTTGCTTCATGCAATCAGCTAGATTTAGCTAATAGTTCTTTCAAAGAAAAAGTTTTTGGTTTTATTGTTTTATTTGTTGTCTTCACACTTCTCAGTTTGAATTTTAGCTTAATTCCTTCTACATCCCTATGTTTGCTGTTTTTCGAGTTTCTTGAATTGAATGCTGTTTCATTTACTTTTAGTTTTTCTAGCTACAGTGGACATCTATTTCTTTTGCTTGCTCTAGATAGTTCCTTTCCTCTTCTAGAAAAATAAAAGAGCATTTAAAAAAAATGTATTTAGTACAGGTTCTACAGGGTCTCACTATACACAGATCAGACTCATAGTGATCCTCCTGTTTTCAGCCTCCCAAGCACTGGGATTACAGGCACATGCCACCATGCCCAGTCTCAGTCACTGTCTCAGGGTGCCCCGGAGACAGGGGTGGAACAGCAAGCCAGGGATCAAACCCTGGTCCCTGCATCTGCCTAAGCAGGTGCTTTAGTTCACTGAGCTACCTGCCTGGCCCTTAAAAGAGCATTCTTATCCTCCTCTCAGCCCTTGAGATAGAGCTGACCTTAGACCTTGAAATCTAGGGGTAGCCAAATGAATCAGGTCTGGCTAACCAAAATATTTCAAGCCCCTGATCTCTTGATGCTTATCTAATTGCAACCTCTCTCTGCCTCTGATGCACTTTGAACTACTAATATACTTACTCAAAGTCAGAGGTGTTGAGCTTGGAAGACATTGTGCCTCAAGGATTTGCAGCTGGATCCTGCTATTTACTGCTTGAAAACAAGTTGCCAACTCAAGTTCTGCATGACAAACCTAAATATCAAAAATGCCACTTAGTAATTAATAATAAACTTTAGGGATGTTTCTAAAATCAAAATATAAGAAGCTATAGTTAGAAGATTTGAAAGCATTATTTTCTATTGATAAAGCTACAAGGTATGAAGGTTATGAAGATAAATTGCATGTATTCTATAAATTGAAGGTATTAACTTGCATGGATTCTGAAAACACATTTTATAACTACTTGTGAACTTTGAAATGAGTGATACACACATAATAATAATTCAACCCAAAATAAATTAAATTTTGAAGTAGTATTACTGGAGAAATTTCAAGTGAATTAATGAAAAAGAATATATTATACTTTTAAAAGAATTATATATAGTCAATTTATTTTTTAAGAGTATATGAAATACGATTTAAAAGTGTATATGATCTTATTTTTTCTAATTTTAGAAACAAGAGTACCAAAAACAGAAGACAAAAGGTTTCTAAAATAAACAGATTTGTGGATTAAGAGTTGAATTACTACTCTGAATGGAAGCAGGCCAAGGAAAGCTGACAGGGAGGAAGCTAGTCCTAGTGAGGAGGCAGTAAATAATGAGGAAAAGGTCAAAGAAAATCTGAGGCAAGCAGTAAAATGAACGGGAGTTAGAGTAGGGGAAAAATGAAAATGTGGTCTTTGGTATTGCTGGTCATCAGCCAAAGACACAGTAGGTAACTTTGTTTGTGAGAAGCAACACGAGACAGTCTACTCATATGGATTCCAAGACTCTCAGCGTGAAATATAAAAGAAACATAAAGCTGTCCAAACACAAAAAAACATTACTGTTCACACGCTGAAAAGAATGAGAATAAGGCAGGAACACAACATTTACAGACTATTCTAAGACAGCGTAGACAGATACAAAAATCTCTGCTAGAACCAGTTCTAGTAATGTTACAGAACAGTTAAATAAGAGAACACTTTATGGAGAGGTTTACACATATGATAATTATCCAGTCTTCTTTAATAACTGGCTTGGAGGGAAAAAGCCTTTCTATGTACATGCCATTGACTGAAGTTTAGGCATTTTGTTTTGGGGGTGTGTGGATTTGAGACAGGGTCTCAACAGATCAAACTGGCCTCATTTCAGACTGAACTTACTATGTAGCCCAGGCTGGTCTCAAACTTGCAGCAACCCTATTGGCTCAGCCTCCAAAGTATAGGCATTTTCTTAAAACATGATTCTGTGTTTTAAAACTGTTGTACCACAGTAAAATAAAAGATAGATAATGAAAAGTGAATTGTGTAAAAACTACATACTTAACTGTTGAGGTTAATTTTTTCTTGAAAAAGGCTAAAATGTGATGAAACTTGTTTATTTTGGCAATAAATGCCAAATTCTAATAAATAAGTAAATTTAATTTTTTGAACTCTAATTTGACTGAAAATAGATTATTCTTTTCACATGAACTAATTATAGCCATATAAAGATTGCTGATTTAAAAAGTTTCTATACTTCACATTTAAATTGGTATTTTAAAAACATGCAGTTCCTTATTATTTATCAAAAAAGAAGAAACATGATTAAAATATTTCATCTGCTAAGTGTGGTGGTGTATGTTTATAATCTCAGCACTTGGGAGGCTGAGGCAGAAGGATCATTGTGAGTTTGAGACCAGCCTGGGGTACAAAGTGAGCTCTAGGCCAGCATGAGCTGCATAGTAAGACCCTGTCTCCAAAAGACATAAAACAGAATTGTTTTTTTCATTAATTCTTTTTTCATTATGGTTTTGTACTCAGGATTAAATAACACTTACGAAACACACAAAAA